GGTGGGGGTGGTGGGGGTGGGGGTGGGGGTGGGAGTGGGGGTCGCGGCGGTCGTGGGTGTCTTGCATGGTGGTCGCGTGTGGTGGTGGAGGTTGTGGCGATGGTCGTGGTGTTCCTGTCAGTTGTGACGCAGTTATTGTTGATGCTGGTGCGCTACTAGTGCTGGTGCTGGTTGTGGCGACTATTCATGCTGTTCCTTTGCAATCTTCTGCCGAGGTGCTGGGCGTGGAGGAGGCGAAGCGACGATGCGGGGCACTAAGCTGAACTGCAAAACGTCTCGGGATGCGACTTTGACATTGCTGAATCCAGCCTTGCGATTGACCTTGTTGACACTATCATCATCAGTGATCTCTGTATCTGCACTTGTACGCGTTCCTTTGTGATTACTGCTATAAACACTGCAAGAGATCAGTCTTAAATCACGGTGCTATGACTGGCTAATGCGATAATTAACACTAGTTACTACAGGTGAGACCTCCAGTGTTCTTGTTGCAGTCTGCCACTACAGGAGGGCCACCTTGTGATGCATTTGCTTCAGTTTCGGATTTGCAAGAGCTTCAGGACAGTACTCGCACATTGACATAGTTGCCTGCAAAGAGCAACATCCCATCTCCCAGTAAAAGTCTGCATCCAGAATTTTCCAGATCTCCGCAGGCCACTGGAAGGAACACGCAGTTGCAAGTCGTCGTGCAGAAAATACGAGGCAGCAAGCTGAGCGGTGACAGCGACAAGAAAACTGATCGAAGTCAACCCAGAAACGTCCCGCCCGGCTCTCCGCAAAAGGGCCGACCAAAGTGGACCAGGGTCAACTCATGCAGTTTCCTACAAGTGGGAGGTCAACGTTGACTCTGGCTGACACTTTGCAGGCCTCATCATGGTATCGCGCTGCCACATGCCGACCGGGGAATTGAAGCGAGGAAAACAGTTCAGGCAGTGAATGAAAGCGAAACGGAGACCGGGCCAAGGCCTTGTACCCTATGCTCTCCCTGGCAACCAAAAACCGTGGCGATCTTAGCAACGTCACTGATCCGGGCAGACATAAGACGACCAGGCAACGGAGACAATAGAAACAACAGCAGCTGTAAAAACAACACAGTCGTGCTAACGAGCACACCACGATCACAACAAAGGAAATATTCGCAGCAGCAACAGCAGCAGCAACAGAGGCAGCAGAAGTCACGATAGGAGGAGGGAGGAGGAGGAGGAGGACTAGCAGTAGTAGCAGCCAGAGCCGGAGGAGGAGGAGGAGGAGGAGGAGTTGTGGGAGTAGTAGCAGCAGTAGGAGTGGCAGGAGCACCAAAGTCACCAACCTAACGTGTCGGCCCCGACCTCGTGCTTGCTCCGGTCAGGGGCACGCGTCTTATACGCGGGGAAACAAGACGCGCTTTAGGCGCGCTTCGTGAAACGTCTTGTTGCAGGGTCCGTTGAAAAGATGAGAACGACTTGCCTGGGACCGGCACTTACGACAGTACACATTCTCAACCAAGGATTTTTCACAAGCCGGCTATGATGCTGCAAAAACCCTTACTTATTGACAGACACAGACACGGCAAGGTTGAAAAAGGAGAGTACGCTTCACTATCGACACTGAAGCAGTGAACCCTGGTAAGGTACATAACAAATCTGACCCAGAGCCACAAAGGCGGCCCCAAGAGAAGTCTCACATCGGGATTGGCAGAGGTGCCAGGCAGTGCCAGGCATTGTAGCGAGGGAGCAGGGATGCCGAAAAGCTGCAGCGATTCGACCCGCTCTCCTCACCGACCATCCGACCATTCTGCACTCGGGCATCGTGTCTGTCACAGGTAATATAGGCTAACTTCAATTCATCAGAGCCGGAATGCACCCTATGCACCGGTCGGCTTGTCCGGCCACGCATCTTCGTCTTCAACACCCTTCGACTCCTCGAATACATCTCACTCTTGCGCAGCATCGGCAATGACATCACCCTTACCACTGCACGTGCCTTCAGCAGCAGTAGCTGAAGCAGCAGCAGATCCAGATCCAGATCCAGAACCACCACCACCAACGACAACAACAACAACAACCACAACAGCAGCAACAGCAACAGCCACAGCCACAGCAACAGCAACAGCAACAACGACAACAACCACAACAACAAGAAGGTACAAACAAAAACTGCAGCCCCGTCAACCCACATAT